GAATAATAATTTATTGAATAATGATTGCTTGAATAATCACTGAATAGTTATCAGTTATGGAAGTTCAAGAGTTCATTTGAAAAGAAATTTTTTATTGACACTGAAATCAAGTAGAAATTCACTACATTGATTTCGTTTGTATAATTTAATGAGTATAAATTATCCTTTTATAATTAATTTTTAAAAAGTGATGTCTAATAAGTGGAAATTTCTTACGGTACATTTCATTAGATCTTAACTCAAGGGAGGTATCATGAATTGTGTTGATTTAATTTAATCCAGGTAGATTGATTTCTGGTGATCTCACCATTCCAGATTAGAACACATTAGTTTGAGTTAGCTAATAAATCCTACAGCCCATCTCTAGCAAATATGTATCAACTTCCAGTAAGTCTTTGGATCTTGCCCAATTTATATTTGAATTCTCTGATTGTTGCACTATCCAAATTACCGAAGGACTCAATAACCTCTAAATGCCAGCACAAATGCAAAATGACAGTTTACTTGAATGTCTTAGAATCCTATTTGTTCCCACAGAAAGAGCTCATACCCTATTATCAACAGAAACCCAACTTATTGATTAATTGCTGAGAAATTAGGGGGCAGCAGAAAATAGACTTATCAATCTACCATGTGCTATGTGTTAGGCCTGGCTCAGTAAGTATAAAGAATATGATAAAACTGGATTCTGGAATCTAGTCAGGAAGCAAAGAAAAAGACTTTGCTTTAAAGTTGGGTGCAGTGGGTCATGCCTAAAACCCCAGCACTTTGGGAGGCCAAAGTGGGCAGATCACTTGAGGCCAGGAATTGGAGACCAGCCTGGTAAAGTGGTGAAACTCTGTCTCTTCTACAAATAAAAAAATTAGCTGGGTGTGGTGGTGTACACCTGTGGTCCCAGCTACTCGGGAGGCTGAGGCACAAGAATTGCTTGAATCCAGGAGGCGAAGGTTGCAATGAGCAGAGATGGCACCACTGTATGGTCTGGGCAATAGACCAAGGACCTGTCCAAAAAAAAAAAAAAAGACTTTGCTTTAACATAAAGCTCACCACCCAGAATGTCTTTTAATTTTCTTAATTTTGTTTCTTCTCTTATAAAAATGCGTTCAACAAATTCATTTAAGAAGTACTTGTTGACTTCATATGATCATGTGCCAATAATTTTGATGCTAGGCAAATGTGACTCCTACTGTCATAGACCTTTTTAGTGAAGAGAGAGAGACACTACACAAACAAATCATTGTTTTAGATCATAAAAAATACTATGAAAACAATAAGCAAGGTAACATGGAGAGTGACTGGGGTGCCATGTTAATTGGGTGGTCAAGGAATGCCTCTCTGAAGTGGTGACATCAATTGAAGTCTGAGGCAAGAAGCCATGTTGAACATCTGGAAGAACAGTGTTCTAGAAGAGGGAACAGCAATTGCAAAGGCCCTGGGCCCGGAAGGAACTTAGCATGTCCCAGGAACAAAATGAGTATTAGTTACTAATACTGATTATCTCAGGGATTTATTTGGTTCTACAAAGACTTACAAGCCAAGGTCTCTGCCCTAAAGGAGCTCTGTAACAGAGACAGACATACATAAAAAGATCACTCTATAGTGCAAAAGTACACTGCAGTGACAGCAATATGGACAAGCTAAGGACTAAGAAGGAAGAGTGATTAATTCTTTGGGGTGTGTTTCAGGGAAGGCATCACAAAGGTGGTGATGCAAAAGCAGAATTTTGAAATAGCAATAGAATTGACAAAGCAGGGAGTAGAGTTGTGCTGGGGGAACAGTGCACAGAGAACACTGAGGGCAAAGACCTCCAGGCTGTTTCTTGTTAGTGAACACTGCAATAAAAGAAAGTGACGCTCAAAAGGCACAGGGGCCAGACCATGATGGGCCTTATATTCAGTGCATGACTGGAGCTATCAAGAGACTCCAAGGAAGGAAACACAGGGTTGGATTAATTTTACATGACTGTCTCTCTTAAATACATCTTCAGGAGGGTAAATGTTAAATGATAAAATGGCAAAGGGGCTCAGAAAGAGATGAGAAACCTGAGAGGTTTGAGGGGTTAATAAAATGAGTAGGGCTGGGATTGCCCACTGTTTAGTCACTAATAACTTCCAGTACCTGGCACTAATAAATACTTAAGGAAGGAATGTATGAAAATGAGTAAACAGTGATTGGCTGGGTGTGGCAGCACCATGTCTGATGAGCAGAAGTCATGAATCCCACATTAATAGACATTGATAGAGCACGTAAGACCATTTTCAGATGTGTTGTTTTAATTCTAACAACCCTATACGTAATTCCACTTTTCAGGTGAGAAAAACCATAGGCTCAGAGAGATCACGGTACCCTGCCAGAGGTTGTAGAACTCGTTGGAAACTTGGCTCAAGAAGGTGTGACAGATAACCAGGTACGCATGCTTAAACATTACTTTCTACAGCTTTGTTCTTTTGGCTTAGGATTGTCTTGGCAATGTGGGCTGTTTTTTGGTTCCATATGAACTTTAAAGTAGTTTTTTCCAACTATGTGAAGAAAGTCATTGGTAGCTTGATGGGGATGGCATTGAATCTATAAATTACCTTGGGCAGTATGGCCATATTCACGATGTTGATTCTTCCTATCCATGAGCATGGAATGTTCTTCCATTTGTTTGTGTCCTCTTTTATTTCATTGAACAGTGGTTTGATTCTCCTTGAAGAGGCCCTTCACATCCCTTGTAAGTTGTATTCCTAGGTATTTAATTCTCTTTGAAGCAATTATGAATGGGAGTTCACTCATGATTTGGCTCTCTGTCTGTTAATGGTGTATAGGAATGCTTGTGATTTTTGCACATTGATTTTGTATCCTGAGACTTTGCTGAAGTTTCTTATCAGCTTTGAGGAGATTTTGGCATCACGCTACCTGACTTCAAACTACACTACAAGGCTACAGTAACCAAAACAGCATGGTACTGGTACCAAAACAGAGATATAGACCAATGGAAAAGAACAGAGCCCTCACAAATATCATCACACATCTACAACCATCTGATCTTTGACAAACCTGACAAAAACAAGAAATGGGGAAAGGATTCCCTATTTAATAAATGGTGCTGGGAAAACTGGCTAGTCATATGTAGAAAGCTGAAACTGGATCCCTTCCTTACATCTTATACAAAAATTAACTCAAAATGGATTAAAGACTTAAATGTTAGACCTAAAACCATAAAAACCCTACAAGAAAACCTAGGCAATACCATTCAGGACATAGGCACAGGCAAGGACTTCATGACTAAAACACCAAAAGCAATGGCAACAAAAGCCAACATTGACAAATGGTATCTAATTAAACTAAAGAGCTTATGCATAGCAAAAGAAACTACCATCAGAGTGAACAGGCAATCTGCAGAATGGGAGAAAATTTTTGCAATCTACTCATCTGACAAAGGGCTAATATCCAGAATCTACAAGGAACTTAAACAAATTTACAAGAAAAAATCAACCCCATCAAAAAGTGGGCAAAGGATATGAACAGACATTTCTCAAAAGAAGACATTTATGCAGCCAACAGACACATGAAAAAATGCTCATCATCACTGGCCATCACAGAAATGCAAATCAAAACCACAATGAGATACCATCTCACACCAGTTAGAATGGTGATCATTAAAAGGTCAGGAGGCCCGGCACGGTGGCTCAAGCCTGTAATCCCAGCACTTTGGGAGGCCCAGACAGGCGGATCACGAGGTCAGGAGATCGAAATCATCCTGGCTAACATGGTGAAAACCCGTCTCTACTAAAAAATACGAAAAACAAGCCGGGTGAGGTGGCGGGTGCCCATAGTCCCAGCTACTCGGGAGGCTGAGGCAGGAGAATGGCCTAAACCCGGGAGGCGGAGCTTGCAGTGAGCCGAGATCGCGCCACTGCACTCCAGGCTGGGTGACAGAGCAAGACTCTGTCTCAAGAAAAAAAAAAAAAAAGGGTCAGGAAACAGGTTCTGGAGAGGATGTGGAGAAATAGGAACACTTTTACATTTTTGGTGGGAGTGTAAATAAGTTCAACCATTGTGGAAGACAGTGTGGCAATTCCTCAAGGATCTAGAACTAGAAATACCATTTGATCCAGCCATCCCATTACTGGGTATATACCCAAAGGATTATAAATCATGCTACTATAAAGACCCATGCACACATATGTTTATTGTGGCACTATTCACAATAGCAAAGACTTGGAACCAACCCAAATGTCCATCAATGATAGACTGGATTAAGAAAATGTGGCACATATATGCTATGGAATACTATGCAGCCATAAAAAAGATGTGTTCATGTCCTTTGTAGGGACATGGATGAAGCTGGAAACCATCATTCTCAGCAAACTGTTGCAAGAACAGGAAACCAAACACAGCACGTTGTCACTCATAGGTGGGAACTGAACAATGAGAACACTTGGACACAGGAAGGGGAACACCAGGGCCTGTGGTGGGGGGGGGGGATGGGGGAGGGATAGCTTTAGGAGATATACCTAATGTAAATGACCAGTTAACAGGTACAGCACACCAACATGGCACATGTATACATATGTAACAAAACTGCACGTTGTGCACATGTACCCTAGAACTTAAAGCATAATAAAAAATAAAAAAATTACTTTCTACTACGTAGCCTCCAGGCTCGAAGAATGAAATTATCTCATAAAAGAGATAATTTATAAAGTCGCTAACTCTGAAAAAAGGGACAACAGGGGGTTCCAGAACGTCCCCGCCAGCCTGCCAGGAGAAGACCAGAGACGTGCGTCACAACAGTCCAAAGTGAAGCCTCCCCCCTACGCCCTTCCCCGCCATCCAGGGAACTGGCGGGGCGCGGTTCTTGGTCCGCCGCTGTCGCCTGCGCAGTCGTAGTAAGGCTCGTGAGCGCCACGCCCTGAAAGAGAAGGGCGGAGGGACGAGTATACGCATGCGTCTGTTCCTTGGCTGCTAGCTCTTAGACCCCGCAGTGAGGTCTGACGTCATTTCCTGCCGTAAGTAGACTGTGCCTCCGGGTCGCGGTCATTTTGAGCCCCTGTCTGGGTGACTTCTTGCGGCTGTCCGCCCCCTCCCCCTCCCCGCGGTACCTTGCACTTTTCTCTCTCCCTGCCCCCTCTGGAGTCCCCCCTGCGGCCTTCTGTCCCTGATCGCTTGGGTTCGCCTTGCCATCGCCTGCTGCTGTGGTCGGAAGGTAGGTGAGGTGCCCCAGACAGCCCCGTTGTTGCTCTCCGCGTATCCCCTCACCACCTTCGCGGCCGTCCACGACATTCGCACCTTCCGCCATTTTCCTGCCTGTGAGGGTGGACAGATCGCGCTCGGGTCTCGGCCTCCTGAGTGCCCGTGACCGCAGGAAGCGACGGAGTGCTTCTGGGGGTGTGAGCTGGGGAAGTTCGTGGTCACGGATGCGTGTGGGGTTGTTGCTCAGTCTGTAACAGCAGGTGGGAGACGGACACAGTAGTGGAGGATGGAGTGTGGGAATCAGCGGTTATAGGTCGCTTAGGCTTTAATCCAGCTTTCTTTTGTGTTGAGAACTTAAAATGGTATTGTCTCAAGGGCCTTGTCAGCCCTGACAGTCTTCCTGGTGTTTCTGGGAAGGATGCTGTTATGGGAAATAAGAGGGTTTCATTTTTTCTCATACGATTGTAGGGTAAAAGTAGTTAATTCAGCAGGCTCCATCCATCCATGAATTCAGCTGACCCTTTTTATTTCTTTTCTCTATTTAAGGGATTGGCATGTAGTAGACCCTCATGGCTTATTGACTAAATGAATTATGGAAGAGCTCACTTGCTATCCTCATTGTGCATGCCATTCCTGTTTCCATGCAAATTGTTTTTAAAATGAGAATAATCATGATCCGACGTAAACATTCTGTAAAATGCAGTTACTTGATCTGTTGATCTAAGTCCCAATATATGAGTTTTAAAAAACGAACCAAATAAAAAAATGTATATTCTTGGAATTTTTGCATTGTTTTCTTAGTATTCTTGGGGAGGAAGGAAATTTGGAGATACAGAATTTGCTGTTAGTTTTACATCACAGAGAGAAGGATATGATATCCTTGTTATTCCGTAATTTTTGAGTGCCCATTTGTGGGAGAGGTTGAATGTTTCTCATTATTATTTCATTTTTTAATATGGAAGCTCACAAATGACTTGAAATCTTTTTCTCTTCTATTTTGGGGAATTATCCTAATCATTGGGCATAGATTTGAGAAACAACCCAAACATACTATGTGAAAGAACCCATTTTCAGGAGGAAAAGATACGTCTGTTATTTTATTGATATCTAGATAGTAAAAAACATGATTAACTTATAAAACGCTTATGCTTTTTCAATTAAGGGACTTAACCTGAATAGTGAGTTCCAAATTAATCAGTAGGTCTGTTATTTTTTCATCTAGCTATTTATATGTGAAGTACTTAAGATATAGTAGTGTTTAGTAAATATTTGTTGATTGGTTGCTGTATAGACTAGTAGTTTTACTATATCATACGTCTTGATTTACTTTGACCTATCTAGTGATGGTTTCTAATACTTAATATGTAATGTTTTTGATACAGGAAAAATGAATGGGAGGGCTGATTTTCGAGAGCCGAATGCAGAGGTTCCAAGACCAATTCCCCGTAACTATCTATTAAGTATTTATAATTAGAAGCACTTCCTATGTAAAGGAAATTTCATTGCCTTGAGTAACAGTGGCAGGTGGGCTGGCTTCATGGGCATGTGCAGATAGTGCCCCATACTTGGTTTCATGTTCTAGTCTTGTTATCTTGAAATTTGTAATCATTTGGACAAGGAGTCCAACGTTTTTATTTTGCACTGGACCCAGCACATTAGGTAGCCAGTCCTGACTAGCAGATAGTAGCATTAATTCTATTTGAAGTCAAAGTTTGTTAAAAGTGTATAAGTGGCCTGGCCCGGTGGCTCATAGTAATCCCAGCACTTTGGGAGGCCAAGGTGGGTGAATCACCTGAGGTCAGGAGTTCACGACTAGCCTGGCCAACATGGTGAAACCCCATGTCTACTAAAATACAAAAAATTAGCCTGGTGTGGTGATGGGTACCTGTAATCCCAGCCACTCGGGAGTCTGAGGCAGGAGAATCGCTTGAACCCGGGAGGTGGAGGTTGCAGTGAGCCGAGATCGTGCCATTGCACTCCAGCTTGGGCAACAAGAGTGAAACTTTGTCTCAAAAAAAAAAAAAAAAAAAAATGCATAAGCCAGTTGTTTTATTATTTGAGTTTAAAAAAAAGTGGGTGCCTCTTGTTAATATTTAGGCTAAGATAATTTTTCAGACTTAGTTTTATTATGGATAATTTAATGTTTCCTGATTTTTCTCTGGTAAAAAGACATAGGACCTGATTACATTCCAACAGAGGAAGAAAGGAGAGTCTTCGCAGAATGCAATGATGAAAGCTTCTGGTTCAGATGTGAGTTCAATTTTCTAATTAATATAATTTGATCCAAAATTTGTACCTGAAATTTTGACCTGAATTTGAACCTGAAATTATAATAACTCCGTATAGAACAAATTAGCAAACTTTTTGCATAGTGTGGTTGTTATTAAAAGAGATTGATTAAGGAAATAAAGGAATTGCACACATTTTAAAGTAATTATTTCCAGATTTTTTGTTTAACAAAACCATGAGGTAATTTTGTTGATAATAGTAATAGTTAGCATTTACTGTATGTACATGGATTATATAAAAACAACTCAATAAGCTTGATAACTATTATTACCCTCACTTTACAGGTGAAGGAATTGAGGTTTAGAGATGTTAAATGGCAACACTTAGTGTTACATAGGTGATAAATTACGATGTTTGGAGTTGAAACCAAGTCTGTCTGAAACAGATTTTACTCTTAATGCTTTTAACCATTACATAATAACAGGTTAGTTCCCATTTTATCATTGTGAAATGTTGTTATACTACCAGCTCTTGATTTCTGACTAGAAAAACGTATGTATTTTTGTGTATATCAAGATTTTATTTTTTAAATACAGAGATTGTTGGAAGCAGTACCCAAAATATACTCTCACTATTGAACAAAGAATTGGTATTGTTTTACTTGGAAACTGTAGTCCTTTCAGGTAAAAAGGAGGATGAATTTTTTTGTTGTTGTTTTTTGTTTGTTTGAGGCGGAGCTTCGTTCTTTTCACCCAGGCTGGAGTGCAATGACGTGATCTCTGCTCACTGTAACTTCTGCCTCCTGGGTTCAAGCGATTCTGCTTCCTCAGCCTTCCGAGTAGCTGGGATTACAGACATGTGCAGCCACACCCAGCAAATTTTTGTACTTTTAGTAGAGGTGGGATTTCACCATGTTGGCCAGGCTGGTCTTGAACTCCTGACCTTAGGTGATCCGCCTTGGCCTCCAAGAGTGCTGGGATTATAGGCATGAGCCACCGCACCCAGCAAATTTTTTTTGAAAAAGGCAACTTGGCTGGACACGGCGCCTCATGCCTATAATCGCAGCACTTTGGGAGGCAAAGGCAGGAGGATGGCTTGAGTCCAGGAGTTCAAGACCAGCCTGGGAAACATAGAGAGGTCTTGTCTCTACCAAAAATGAAAGAAATTAGCTGGGTGTAGTGGTAGGTAGCTGTAGTTGCAACCACTTGGGAGGCTGGGACTAAGGCAGGAGGATCCCTTGAGCTGGGTAGATAGAGGCTGCTGCAGTGAGCTATGATTACATCACTGCATTCCACCCTGGGTGACAGAGCCAGACCCTGTCTCAAAGAAAAAAAGGTCAACTTAAGCCATTAAGGAGGATGTATGTTTTCATCAGTGAGCCTGATATGTATGCTTAAAATGTGCAAGCTGTGCAAGGTACCTGTTGGGAAGATAAGTTTTATGAAAGACAGTCTTTGTCCTGAAGTAGTTTTCTTTATTTGTTTTTGTTTTTGAGACAGAGTCTCACTCTCTTTCCCAGGCTGAAGTGCAGTGGTGTGATCTCTGCTCATGTCAACATCCTCCTGGGTTCAAGTGATTATCCCACCATAGCGTCCTGAGTACCTGGGACTATGGGTGTGCGCCACCATGCCTGGCTAATTTTTGTGTTTTTAGTAGAGATGGGGTTTCACCATGTTGGCCAGGCTGATCTCAAACTCCTGACCTCAGTTGATTCACCCGCGTTGGCCTCCGAAAGTGCTGGGATTACAGGTGTGAGCCACAGTGCCCAGCCCTGAAGTAGTTTTATATGTGGTGAGACAAAACTAATATGTAAAACACTTAGAGATTAAGTGTGTAACTGTAGAAGACTTTTTAAAGAGATAAATTAATTAGAATTGACTTACTGAAATTGAAAAATTTGAATAACTTTTCACGTTTTAAAACTCAAAATTTTCTCAAAATTTTACCAAATTTCAATTTGGTAAAAACTGAAGCCTCTTTCAGTTTTTCAGTTGTGTTTTTCTGTAACATAAGGTAGCATACCTGAGTTGGAAAAAGACCTTTATTTGTTAAGCAAACAATACTTTAACAACTTTATAATAATACTATAGGCCAGGTATGGTGGCTGTAATCCCAGCACCTTGGTTTTGTTTTGTTTTTTATGTTTGTAGATACTAGGTTTTGCCATGTTGCCCAGGCTGATCTTGAACCCCTGAGCTCAAGCCATCTGCCTACCTTGGCCTCTCCAAAAGGTGGAATTTCAAGCATGAGCCAGTGAACCTGGCCCTAGCACATTGGGTGGCTGAGGCAGGAGGATCACCTGAGACCAGCAGTTTGAGACCAGCCTTGGCAACATAGTGAGACCCTGTCCCTAACCCCCCGCAAAAAATTAAAAAAATATAAAAAAATTGATAGTAGAGAAGTGAAGAGGAAAGGTAGAGTAGCATTTGGATGAAAGGAGTAGTGAACAAAGGCAGAGTTTGCAATAACTTTATCTCTACTAGAGCCATGAGCCTGAATTGATTGGAACAGAGGTCTTTCATTGAGGATAGAACATAAAACATAATAATGAGTTAAAGATTTGATCCATTATATCGTTTAGGTTCTTGAGCAGAGGGGGATGATGTGTAAGGTTTTTTTAAGGAAGGTTAGTTAACAGTGTGCAAGATGGGTAGAAGGGTGAGAAGTTGTACTAGGTAAAATCTGTTTTGAGCTTTTGGCAGTAACTTAGGCATATATATGTAGTCATCGATGAGATATAGTTGATTATTGTGTCATTTGGACTGGAAAAGATGAGCTGGCAACGAAAGATTTTTTAAAGGACAAATAACAGGATTTTTTAAAAAGTTCGACTAAGGGGGAATGAAGGAATGGTAAGAGGGAGGTAATAGCTTTAAGATAACCAGCTTAGGACACTCAATAATGATACTACTGAATAAAAGGTTCAGTTAGAAGGAGTTCTTGTTTGAAGATGAGTTTAGTTCAGACATTTTGAGTTCATGCTGCAACATTCGATTGTGGAAGATTTCTAAGCAACTAGAGATAGAAACAAAAGTATACATGAAAAATTAGTTTATTGTGGAGTTGTGTTGGTGAATTCGCCTATAAATTAAGTGTAGAGATAAAAGTGTGAAACTGATAATAGTTTCTGCCATGTAATTAATACTTAGTATTGATAGAATAAAGGATAAAGTTTGGATAGTCATGGATAAGGGAACAAGTGATAATGAAAGAATCAACAAAGACCAAGAGCAGTTAGGAAGATATAGGAGCTCTGATAGAATCTTTGTCATTTTATCCTCCAATATTCAGAGACTTGCAGATGTTTCAAACTAGAAAGAACCTGAATAAGAATTAGGTGATGGTGTCCATCTTAATTTATGATGACTATGCATCTAAAACAGTTATTCTCAACTGGAAGCATAATTGGAACAAGTTGAGAATAATTGTTTTAGATGCATAGTCATCATACATTAAGGACTTCTATAAAAATTTTCGTGGCTCATAGAATGGGAATAGTTTTTTTTTTTTGTTCCAGAGAAGGAGTCTCGCTCTATTGCCCAGGCTGGAGTGCAGTGTTGTGATCTCGACTCACTGCAACCTCTGTCTCCCGAGTTCAAGCAATTCTCCTGCCTCAGCTTCCCAAGTAGCTGGGATTATAGGCGCACACCACCATGCCCAGCTAAGTTTTTGTATTTTTAGTAGAGACCGGGTTTCACCATGTTGGCCAAGCTGGTCTTGAACTCCTGACCTTGTGATCTGCCCACCTTGACCTCCCAAAGTTCTGGGATTACAGGCATGAGCCACTGTGCCTGGCCAGAATGGGAAGAATTTCTTAGAGAACGTGGCTATATACTGTAGCAACAGTTTTTTTTTTTTTTTTTTTTTTAATCTTTGAAGGTTATATAAAGTAGATAGGATAAAATGATCTATTTTCAAGTCTTGATGATACAGGATTAAGAAAAAGACAAGTCCGATAGAGGGAGTTTGGGATTATTTTAGTGTTGGGCTAATGGTTAAATAGATGCTAAGGTGTCCAGATTTATTTCTGGCTGATAAATGTATGCTGTTGCACATGTTTAATATTCTAAATAACTGTGACGGGGTTATGCCAAAAATACATTAAAGGGTAGTGAACAATGTCAGGATGCTCATGTATGCCAGACTTTTAATAGTGGGACATGTGGTATATGAATAGTACAAAGCTAAGTAATTTCTGTGTATTAAAACAGATAAATCACAGATTGAAAAGACGAAAAGTGGTCAGGTGCTGTGGCTCACACCTGTAATCCCAGCATTTTGGGAGGCTGAGGCGGGCAGATCAGTTGAGGTCAGGAGTTCGAGACCAGCCTGACCTATATGGTGAAACCCTGTGTCTACTAAAAATACAAAAGTTAGCTGGGCATGGTGGCAGGTGCCTTTAATTCCAGCTACTCGGGAAGCTGAGACAGGAGAATTGCTTGAACGCGGGAGGCGGAGGTTGCAGCGAGCCGAGATCGTGCCACTGCACTCCAGTCTGGATGACAGAGTGAGACTCCATCTCAAAAAACAAACAAAAAGACAAAAAGCATGTAATAAGGACAGGCTGAAAGACAGTTTGTTAATTTTATACCTATCTACATTACTGAGAAATTACAGCAGCCAAAAAATTACTGTATTAATAGGTAGCATTTGACTCTTAGATAACCAAGGTGTTGCATATTATAGCATCAAACATTGAAATGTAGAAGCTTGGTTGTAACCAGATGATAGGAAGTTCAATGTGTAATTATCAGAAGGATGATAATCATGCATTATGAAATTTTGTACTTTAACATTTGTACTTTCGAATTAGATAGTCTGTGCTGTATGTGACATATTTATGCAAACAAATAAGGGCATCTGTCCTACTTTGGAGAGTATCACCTCGTGACTTGATTAGAAAAAGGTGGTAAAAGCATTTACAAATTTATAAAAAAGCACTTACTAAGGTAATTTTTTATACATTTTTTAGGTCGGTTAAATATACTTATCCTGTTTTAAAATTAGACTTGTTGATCTAGGGACCGTTCTCTTTCCCTAAGATAACTTTGTTTCTATACTGGCCTACGTTCCATTAATCTGAAATACAACTGTGAAGGCATCTTATTTCTAAGTGCTTAAAATCATGACCCCATGCACTGACCTAAAATCACTATGTCTATGCCCAAACACACGGGTAGGGAAGACCCTGTACATATAGGGTCAGTTTATTGCACATTCATGTTAAAATAGTTCTCAACCTCCAGAATTACTGAAAAGATGTATCATTTCCTATTTGTATCAGCTGGAGTCTATGAATAATATTTCATACATGTGTACTATTAGTTTTCAAATGATATGGTATAAGAGTGATAAGAGTATGGGCCGGGCATGGTAGCTTAAACCTATAATCTCAGCATTTTGAGAGGCCGAGGTGGGCGGATCACTTGAAGTCAGGAGTTCAAGACCAGCCTGGCTAACATGGTGAAACCCTGTCTGTACTAAAAATACAAAAATTAGCCAGGTGTGGTGGCACATGCCTGTAGTCGCAGCTTCTTTTGATGCTGAGGCAGGAGAATGGCTTGAACTTGGGAGGCAGAGGTTGCATTGAGCCGAGATCGTGACATTGCACTCTAGCCTGGGTGACAGAGCGAGACTTCATCTCAAAAAAAATAAAAGAGAGAAAAAAGAGTATGGACTCTGGGGCCTGATTGGCTGGATTCAAATCCCAGCTCCACTCACAGTAGCTGTGAGATTTTGGGCAAGTTCCTGAGGTCTGTGTGCTACAGTTTCCTTATCTGTAAAATGGGGATAACTGCCTAGCTCATGAAATTATTATAGGGATTAATGCAATTTAATTAAGTGTTGACTATCTTTATTAAATAGCTATCAGTGTTATTGTGATTAATGAAATAAAAATTTTTATTGACTACAGTTAGGAATATAGAGTAGCTTTTTGTTACTGTGAGGGGAGAAGAGTTTAAAGAATTGTAGGAATTCTTGTACATATTGAATATAGTTCGGGACTGTGGTAATAATGTGCACTAGGTTTTGGTCAGCAGTATTATTGATTTGCCTATAGAAACAGATTATTTAACAAAACAAATTACATAATGTAGTGGAAAAGGCCACTGACTGGGGAGTCAGGAGACTTGGGTTCTGATCTCAGCATTACCACAAACTAATCAGCTGTGTTGCTTTGAGCAAATGACGTGTGTTTTCTGGATGTCAGTGTGCTCTGATTAGAATGAGGACTAGATAATCTCTGAAGCCTCTTTCAGTCTTACCATCGTCTTTTTCTGTGACATAAAGTAGAATACCTGAGTTGGAATGAGACCTTAGGTTTACTCCATTATCCCTTATAGCATGAGAAGAAGCTATGCAAAGACATTGTGGTGAATGGCAGAACTAGTACTAGAATTTCCTCAAACAGACTATTACTCTGCATTAAATGGGGAAAGCATTATCCATTGTAGAAATGGCCAACTAACTCATTGCCTTTTATTCTTATATGATTCTTCAGTGCTTCATGTTGCAATCCTTGAGTCAAGCTGGAGAAAAATGATTGCAAATTGTACTGGTGCTGTAATTAAAAGGGATTTGTCCTTTGCAAAACTTTAAATGATAATACATGAAGGCATTCTAACCAGCCAACATTAAAGAAACCGTATTTCCAGCAAAGGTAAAATCTGTTAGTAAGTAGGATAGCATGAATTCAAACCTTAGCGTTTGTGCAATTTGTGTCTGGTGGCAAAGTTAATGCCCTATTCCAAAGTGATGGATTTTAATCATGAAATCTGTGTAATAATTCAAATGTCTTAATTACTTTGGTTCTTAAATTGTCCATGTATGGTTTAGACCAGAGTTGAACAAACTAGACCATGGACCAAATCTGTTTTTGTATGCATGAGCTAAGAATTGTTTTTACATTTTTAAATGGTTAAGAGGCTGCGTGCAGTGACTCAAGCCTGTAATCCCAGCACTTTGGGAGGCCGAGGTGGGCTGATTACTTGAACCCAGGAGATTGAGACCAGCCTGGGCAACATGGCGCAACCTCATCTCTACAAAAAAAAAAAAAAAAAAAAGACAGAAAATTAGCCGGGCATGGTGGTGCATGCCTGTTGTCCCAGCCACTTGGGAGGCTGAAGCAGAAGGATCATCTGAGCCAGCAAGTTGAGGCTGCAGTGAGATGAGATTGTACCACTGCATTCCAGCCCTGGTGATAGAGTGAGACCCTGTCTAAAAAAATAAAATAAGATAAAATGGTTAAGAAATCAAAGGAGAAGAATATTTCATTACCTGTGAAAATTACATGAAATTTGTATTTTTGCATCTAAAAATAAAGTTTTGTTGGAACACAGCTATGTTCATGTGTTTTTGGATTGTCTCTGGGTGCTTTTGCTTTAAAATGGCAGTTGAGTAACTGGGACAGAGATTGGCCCACAAAACCCAAAATATTTACCATCTGGCTTTTCATAGAATGTGTTTGCCAACCTCAGGTCTGGAACAGCACCCTCCAGTGTGGCAGCCAGTAGCCACATGTAGTGATTTAACTTTAAAATAACTTACAGTGAAAGGATATAAAGCAAAATCATAAAAGGAAAGGGAGCATGGAGGGAAGTACAGCGGAAACCAGGTCCCAAGAGTTCTCTCCTCAGGGAGAGACTTCCCAGGAAGTGTAAATTTCTCCAACAGCTAGTCATAACAATGTGTGAAGTTTTATCTACCAGGGGAACCCATTAGGGACTCAGTGCCCATGGTTTTTATTGGGGGCTGGTCACTTATGCACCCTCTGCCTAACAGGTACCAAAATTCCAGACTCCCAGAATGAAAGCAGGTGTTTGGCATGAACTGTATTTGTTCAGATAGTTTGGGCACAGTGAGCCAACACATATATCAATGGAGGGAACTGTTTATAAGTCAAGTACCAAGACCAAGTTGATCACAGGCACAGGATTGGTCACTCAAAGACCAACTTTCATTATCACAAAAAATTCTGTTAGACAGTGCTGTTGCCCAGAACAGTGATTCATAGCTGTTTTTAAGTTATAATCCCCTTCAAGATTATGAGTTTTGGATTTTTCACTTTTGGTTTTAGGCATATATACAGATGTAATATTTTCATATAGTTTAAGGCATTCACTAGTTTAGAAGAAAGAACATTAGTGTTTAAAATACATGCTTTTTAATTTTTGCCCCAGCCACCGTATGATTACGGTCAAATATATTTTGTATTTTGGTTTAGACAGTGTAATACAGAGCTTAAAAGCTTGAGATCTGGTATCAGACAGATTGTATTAGAATCTGCGACCAACCATTCAACTAGTTGTTTGGCCTTAAGCAAATTACTTAACATCTCTAAGCTTCAGTTTCCTTATCTTTAAAAGAGTGGTAATAACATTATCTACGTTATAGAAATATGATAAAAAGTGTAATAAATGAGATAATGCACATAAGGCGCTTAGCATGATGCACAAAATTTAGTCATTATTCAGTAGTGGTTCTTGTTTGTAACTTGTTTCTTACCTCTCCCTCATTAACTTTTTCCCCTTCTGTAACTTCAGAAGTAATTTTTAGTCATTTTTACTACGTTGTCTTAATTGATGCTGTTAATGAACAGCTGGCTATTTGGAACCTAAGCCTAGATGGTTAATGAATTATATTGTTTAATATTTTGTGATGTTTTCTTAAATTTAAAATGCTCCTTTAATTTTTCCACTATGTATGCAGTACAGCTTTTAAAAATGGAAGTCTTTTTTAAAGATCTTAGTTTTGCAATATAATTCCTAGATGGTTTTACTGATACTCATTTATCTAATGAACTTTAGACAAAATCTTTTACTTTTGTTGACGTTAACAAGGTCTTTTTCCTCCTATAGCTGTGCCTTTGGCTGCAACAAGTATGTTGATTACTCAAGGATTAATTAGTAAAGGTAAATATTTAAAATTTGAATTTATTTAGCATTTTGGATACCATATTTGTTTTGTGGTATTTTCCAGATCTTTAGAAAAAGTAAAGGTAACAATGTATCATACTAAACACTATGTAGTAATTCATTGATGCATTTCTACAATATTAAATATTTTGTCTCTATGGACCCACTGGCTCAAATATCATGACTTGAGAATTTCTCCTGCACTAATAGCATCATTAACAACCTTCAAGAGCAAGAAAGTAACTAAACACCAGTATTAGCAGGGCAAATCTGGTCTAGGTGGGCCAATAGCAACATTATCGCCTAGGAGCTTGTTAGAATGCACATTCATGGGGACCAGGAGTCTGTGTTTTAACAAACTCCAGGTGATTCTTATATAATGATTTAAAGATCAGTAGCTCTCTAAACCAGCTTTGTCTGACCACTTGGTGGGGGTGAGTGGAGGTGAGTTAGCATTATTCAAAAAATTAGAATCTCAGGGGTCTGGCAGGTGATCTATTTTTAACAAGCCACCGAGGAGGCTTTCTTGTCCTAAAGTCTATTGGCTCAAATAGTACAGTGTATTCATGTGGAATTGAGTTTAGATTGAGTATTAAACGTCTTGAGTCCTGCATTTAAAATTTAGTGGAGTAAGCGGTAGAGTTGCTTATTTCATTTACCTCATGAACTATCCATCTGGTAATGGGAAGGTGTCCTGGAAAAGGATGGTGACCTTAGGATGACCTAGAGGCCTATTGCTTTAATTAACTGGCACCTTCAAAAATGTGACTTAATGATTGGAATATTTGGCCTTTTTACATTAGGATATGATGTACGGTACTTAGTTTTGACACAATTAGTTGATAAAAGTAGTTTTGGAGGCAAATGAGAGGATTTTTTTGGGTAAAAATTTGTTTAAGGAACTTCTGAAGAACTTTATGATAATATAATATAGTACCATGACAAAAATCTTAAACATAGAAGCAAGTCAAGATATATGCACTTATATGTCCTTAAGACTAAGCTGTTTTATAGACTGAGATTGGTTCTGTATTGTGAGAGAGAAAAAAAAACACTTGAATTACATTTCTTTGTAGGAAAAAGTGGCACAGGGATGAAATTACAGTGTTTATTATTGTTCTGCTTCTTTTATCTGTTTTAATCCAGTGTGTCTTTTAATAATGATTGGAGCTAGATATGCAGAAGGTTATACAAAAGAAATTTAATAGCTGCTAGTAGTTCACTGGAGGAAACAAGTAGATGTGAACATACGTTGAAGCAAATAGAAAATTTAATTACATACTTAATACGCTACTAAATTGTATAGTAGAGACTAAGAGTTGTAGGTGTTCAAAGAAGAAAAACCTTTGTAGGGCTGTTGTAATCAAGGAAAGTTTCTTGAAAGAAGTAAATTTTGAAGGATGGGCAGGATTTAGTTTAAAAGAGAAGAAAGAACATACCAGGAAGGAGGGACCTGATGATCAAGACAAATAGGCATGACTATTAGGAGAGGCAATCAGGATTGAACTGAAAAGACAGAATCATTCAGGGAGGAGTGAAAACTCCATTAAATAGCTGAAGTAGAGTCAGGAGAAATTATAATTTGGATTAGGTTATGAAGAGGAGAAAGTTTTTTAGAGATTTTGGGTTTAGGTGCAGTTGAAGACTTTGGGCTACTTGAAGGTATGGTAGAAGTGACATTGGGAGGCCGAGTCAGGTGCATCACGAGGTTAGGAAATCGAGACCATCCTGGCCAACATGATGAAACCCCATCTCTACTAAAAATACAAAAACATTAGCCAGGTGTGGTCACGCGTGCCTGTAGTCCCAGCTACTCAGGAGGCCGAGGCAGGAGAATCGCTTGAACCCAGGAGGCAGAGGCTGCAGTGAGTCGTGATGGGGCCACTGCACTCCATCCTGGGCAACAGAGTGATACTCTGTCTCAAAAAAAAAGGTAAAAATTGGGAGAGACTTTAAGAAAAGAATTTGGAACCCACCAAGGCATTTTGCATTTAATCATAATCCCTGACATTTTGTACAGTGGTCCTTTTATATCTGTGTGAATTGGTTCCAGGACCCTCCAGAGGATACCAAAATCCACGATAGCTTAAGTCTCATATAAAATGGCCTAGTAAAGTTTACATGCATATCTGCCTGTATACTTTAAATCATCTCTAGATTACTTACAATACCTAAGACTATGTAAACACTATGTAAACAGTTGTTATACTGTATTGTTTAGGGAATAATGACAAGATGAAAGTCTGTACATGTTTAGTATAGTTGCAGTTTTTTTTTTTCCTGAATATTTTCTATCCGCAGTTGGTTGCAGAACGTGTGCATACAGAGGGCTGCCTGTATCTCCTTTCATTCACAGTGTGTCATACTCCACGTGGTCTTAGATGTTCCCTCTGTTTCTTCCTGATCTACCAAAACCATTTAAACATGCTCAGGTCTCCTCTAACTTGAGAACATTAAAAAGAAAAAAAATCCTCCCTTATTTCTTTTTCCACCTACTCCCAACTGCCTCATATTTGAAGCCAGAGCCAGACTTCATGAATGAGCACTTCACTTTTTACTTCATTTAACCCATTGCAGCCAGTGTGAGACTATCCATATATTCTACCATTTATAAGTTCAAAAGTTCAAAAACAAACCACCTGTTTGTTGCTTACATATGATGGACAGTTTTTGTTCTTGACCAACATTATATAACTTTAACCAGTTTTTCTTGAAATAGTCTATTCTGTTGGCTTCCATGATGGCATATTCCTAAGATTTTTCTCCTACCTCAGGCGGTTCCTCCATTGTTTCATGTTTTTTGAGTGTCTGATATGTACTATACATTGTTGTATAGAACTAAACAACAAAAATTCATGACCTCTTGGTGCTTACATTCTTGTATGGGTTTTTTTGTCTACTTGTTTTGGAAATGTTGGTATTATTATATTCTGGATATAATATATAATATGGATGACCCTTCTATAGGCTCCTCAGATGGAACTCATCATTTTCCACAAAACCAATTCCTCCTTTCCCTTCATGACTGAGTGGCATTAGTACTACCCAGGAGACTGGGACATTATCCTTCACATCTATCCCTTATCTGCCTTGTCCAATTAATGTCTTTTAGCTCTTAAATGTCTTTATTAACTATCTACCTTCATCTGTACTGCCACTATAATTAACACAACCATATGTCACAAAGAGTATTGCATTAACCTTCAACAAATCTGTTTGCTTCCATTCTTGCTACTTCTCCTTAGGAAAATAAGCTATTTCTAGCACCTGACAGAGGGCATACATAGTGCACATAGTACTCAAATATTTGAGGGGATGGATAGCAACCGTGACACTATTCTCTTTGTCTTAACTCTCTCTCTAGATTGTAAATTCCATGAGAGTAAAGAGTGTATCTTGTTTCCTGTTAATATCCAGTATTTAGTGCCTTTATGTTGGAAGTGGTCTATATGGTGACAGTATGAAGGAACAACTTTTTAATGTAAAAATAGAGATATATTCTTACCATCTTCCTTTTCCTGTTATCATCCCAGTGGTATAAATGAAGAAACTGAGGCTAAAGGCACAGATTAGTTGTCTTTTTGTACTTTAATTACATGAAATCACACACTGAAGTATTCTTTTATGTAAGTTCTTTCAGCATAGTGAGATTTATCCAGTAGTGTGCTGGAACTGGTTTGTACTGGCTCCTGAGAATTGGTTGTTAAATTTTCAGGAACTTCGGCAAGCCGATTTTTAAAGTGTTGGTAGTTGGCCAGGTACAGTGGCTTATGCCTGTAATCCCAGCACTTTGGGAGGCCAAGGCAGGCGGATCATGAGGGCAGGTGATTGAGACCATCCTGGCCAACATGGTGAAACCCTGTCTCTACTAAAAATACAAAAAATCAGCTGGAATGGTGGCGCGTGCCTGTAGTCCCAGCTACTTGGGAGACTGAGGCAGGAGAATTGCTTGAACCCAGGAGGCGGAGGTTCCTGTGAGCTGAGATGGCGCCACTGCACTCCAGCCTGGCGAGAGAGCGAGACTCATCTGAAAAAAAAAAAAGAATTGGTAGCTTTACACCATGGAAACTGACAAACATTAAAATTAGAGCTTTTTATAGTAAACCAGCACATCATTGCACTTAACCACGTTGTTGCATGTAGTTGCCATATAGTTTTCCTCTGTGTGAATACACCAGTTTATCTGTCTGAACTGAACATTGATAATCGGTAGTTTTCAGTTTTCACTGTTACAATTAGTTCTGCCTAGAATATGGTGCCTTTTGATAGACATTTTGCTGGGTCATAGCTTTTGTATATATTTATTTAGCTTTAGTAGATATTACCAAACTGTAGACCAATTTATACTCCTACATTCTCACCTACACTAGCTATTTTTATGTCTTTTATGTTTTAGCCGTTGTGGTAAATGAACACAAATATTGATTGCATTGTGGCTTGAATTTGTAGTTCCCTGTGACCAATTAAGTTGAAGACCTTTTCATTTGTTTATACTTCATTTCAGCATATCTTTTTTTGTGAAGTATCTGTTTAAGTCTCTTAACCATTTTTCCATTGTATTGTCTTTTTTCCTGTTGGTTTTGTGAGACTCCTCTGTATATTTTGGAACTGAGTCTTTTCTCAGATATAGATATGGTGATTATTTTTTCCCCACTGTGTTTAACTGTAGTTTTCAGTGAATAGAGTCCAGTTTATCAGGTTTCTTCTTTCTAATGAGTGCTTTTTGTTGACTCTTTAAGATCTTTGTCTACTCCAAGGACACAAAGATGGTCTCATGCTTTCTTCTGTAAAATTTTTTAAAAAAATCTTTCATATTTAAATTTTTAAGCTATCTGGATTATTGTTCGATGTAGGATCAAGGTACATTTTCCCCTGTTAATGGATATTAATTGACCCAGCACTGTATTTGAAAAAACTATGCTGCAGTGTTGTCTTTGTCCTAAATCAAGTGTGCAGGTGTGGATCTGTTTCTGGACTCTTGGTTTTGGTCAGTTTACCTGTTCTTGTACTTAATACCAGACTGTCTTAATTACTACAGCTTTATCATGTAGATATTGCTATCTGGTGGTAGTCAGTTCTATAATACGATTCTTCAGTGTTCCCTTGGCCCTTTGTGTTCCACATGACTCTTAGAATAAACTCTTCAATTTTTGTGAAACTTTGATTTTAATTGGAATTGCATTGTATTTGTAGGTGAAGTTATGGAGAATTGCCATCTTTAGAATATTGAGTCTTTCAATTCTCAGTAAGTTTTATAACTTTCAGTGTAGAGATCTTTCATATCTTTCATTAGATTTGTTCCTAGGCTTTGAGTGTTTTTTTTGGTGCTATAATTAATTCTGTCTTGTAAAAAATGTTTGTTTTTTTGGTTTGTTGTTGTTATAAATGGTTTTTCATACACACACACACACGCATATAAATATTTGGTCTATTGACCTTATATCAAGTGATCTTTCTAAATTTACCTGTTCTAATACTTTGTAGAGTCTTTTGGATTTTTGTCATATTTCTGTTGATACTGAATTCATTTGGTTTTCCCTATTAAACAGTCTAGGATTCTCTAGGGTCATGGAAGAAGCTAATGTTGTAAGATTATATTTAAAGATAGCCTTTACTGATTTTTCTTTCTCTAACAATGTTACTAAGAAATACTTAACTCTTTTCTTTAGGAATACTTTCAAGTCATCCCAAATATGGTTCCATCCCTAAACTTATATGTAAGTATAAACAACATTGTAGTTTTCATAGCTTTTTAAAACTTAAATAAAATTATTTTTATCAAATGTTTTATCATGTCTTACTCATATTAGTTATGTGGTTATGTGCTGTGATAAATCAGTTTGTTAAAGCATTTCATTAAGTGGATTACTTGGATATTTTATTGTTAGCATAAAAAATCATTAGTTGAAATAGGCATTTTTTGTGTCTTTATAATGTAATAGAGCTATTAATTTAAATTTATTTTGTAAGGATAAAGTATTTGAAAATAAATTTTTGGTCTGTCTATGGGGAAAGAAAGTTGTGCACATATTCTGATTAATCAAAGTATATTTAAAATTAAGCTTAATTTTTAAAAGAAATCTCTCTAATTTACATTTTAATATGTAAATAAGCATAACTTATTTACACATTGCAATAAAGTTAATAGAAAAAGAAGCTACATTGCTCTTCAAAAGAAGTACCTGAGGCTTTTCATGAGTCTTTCAGGTTAGCCTTTCTTTTGTATTGGAAACTCATGTGATACAGTAATTGCCACGTTTAGGTTATGGTTAGTAATTTATTACTTTAAGGGATTTGTTGCACCTAATTTTATTTTAAAACAATCTTGTGAAAATGGCTGTGCATATGATTTTCTGTTTTATAGGAAAATAATGGCCTAAATCCTTGTGATCTAGTTCTGTTTATTTAGAACTAGAAATAAATAAATGTTTGGATGCTTTTATTTCTTATCCATTCCTCTTCTCATTATACCTTTACTAAATCTTTCCTATATATTCGACAAAGTAATTAGTATACCGTATTCAATTTATTTATAGCAACTTTTATTTTGGCACACTTTTTTTTGGAAACTGAATTATATCCATAGACTCTGTCTATGAACTCTGATCTGATTTAGTTTTGGTTTCCTCTACCATTATTTCAGGAAATCTCAGTCTTTCTAAACCAAAGACATATTTAGAATCACACTCAACTTTTCTTTTAGAAAATACTTTTGTCTGAAGGGCACATTCAGTTACACTTTTTGTTTGATTTTACAAATAAGTTGCTTGTATCATGGGATACTTTGCTGGAAAACTTTCTTATGTGAAAACTTGCCAAGAGAAATTCAAGAACCTTGAAAATTCCCCCCTTGGAGAAGCTTTACGATCAGGACAAGGACGACGATCTTCACCACCTGGGTAGGCCAGATTCTGATCTTTACTTAAGATTTTTAATTTTTAAGAAACAACTAGATGTTGTTATAACTCACGGCCCAAAAACATTGCCTGAAGGACCACTGGATACTTGCCATTTGCTGTAGGCTAAAAGTAGTTTGTTTCAAAAATTGGAGCAAGACATGCCACCATTTATTTATTTATGAATGAATGAATGAATGAATGATAAGGCCTCCTTCTGTTGCACAGGCTGGAGTACAATGGCATTATCCTAGCTCACTGCAGCCTCGAACTCCTGGGTTCACAAGGCCCTGCTGCCTCAAGCTCCTGGAGTAGCTAGGACTACAGGCGTGAGCCCCTGCACCCAGCTAATTAAAAAAAATTTTTTTTATAAAGATGGGGGTCTCACTATGTTGCCCAGGCTGGTCTTGAACTACTGGGCTCAACTGATCCTCCTGCTTCGGCTTCCCAAATTGTTGAGATTAAAGGTTTGAGCCACTGTGCCTGGTTCTTCATTTTTGTTTTGTTTGGTTTTGAGACAGTTTCACTCTGGCTCCCAGGCTGGGAGTACAGTGGCATGATCTTGGCTCACTGTGACCTCTGCCTCCTGGGCTCAAGTGATCCTCCTCCCTCAGCCTCTGGAGTAGCTGAGACCACAGGCATACACCACCACGCCTAGCTAATTTTTTGTATTTTTTATAGAGACAGGGTTTTACTGTTTTTCCCAGGCTGATCTCAAACTCCTGCGCTCAAGCAATCTGCCCCACTTGACCTCCCAAAGTGCTGGGATTACAGGCGTAGTGAGCCACTGCATCTGGCCTTCATTGTTTTAAATATAGAGTTGTATCCTACTGGGAGTACATGTTCTAGAATAAAGGATTTTATCTTGATTCAATTTGGCAGACCTTTGGTTACTATAGTTTGGACTTTTATTTTGAATTCCCAAATCTTATCAATCCCATCCATCTCTTAACAGATTTCAACTTTTCATTTTAGTGCTTCTTAAACAGATAGGCAGGCAATGTAATCCCCATGAGAGAGAATTACTTGTATCTGCTTTAGCAAATTAGTGTTTATATAGATTCTTAGCTGTGACATTACCTTCTCAATTGACATGGGAAATGAACATGGTTATTGAAATTAGACCTGATTTAAAGTGCTTTTTCTTTCCAAGAACTTTCAAACATATTAAAATTATCTTGAAAGGCTAATAGTTAGAAAGTTGAGTATGCATTTCCTATTTTTCTATATTAACAGTGACCGCTTTTAAGATGTATAAGTGGGTCAGGACTTTTTAAAAGTGTTTTGTTGGCAGAAAGACCAGACCTCATTTTACTGTTTATAAATAACTGTGTTAAAAGTTATTTCGAGGCCAGATGCGTGGCTCATGCCAGTAATCCCAGCACTTTGGGAAGTTGAGGCAGGAGGGTTGCTTGAGCCCAGGAGTTTGAGACCAGCCAGGGCAATATAGTGAGACCTCATCTCTACAAACGACCAAGTAGTGACGCATGCCTATAGTCCCTCCTACTTGGGAAGCTGAGGTAGGAGGATCACTTGAGCCTAGGAAGTGGAGATTGCAATAAGCCAAGACTGCACCACTGCACTGTAGCCTGGGTGACAGAGTGAGACCCTGTCTCAAAAAAAAAAAAAAAATTTATATGTATATATAGTTATGGAAATAAGATATATGAAAGAAGTTATTTTAACACTTCTTTAAGATATAGGCAATGACTCATTTCTTAATATGATTTTCATTTACAGGCACTATTACCAGAAGTCAAAATATGACTCAAATGTGAGTGGTCAATCATTTGTGACATCCTCAGCAGCAGACAACATAGAAATGCTTCCTCATTATGAGCCAATTCCATTCAGTTCTTCTATGAATGAATCTGCGCCCACTGGTATTACTGATCATATTGTCCAAGGTAGAAACTTCTCTTGAAATGAATTTCAACATTTTATGGTCCAACGTATGTATAAACTTTATTTGATGACCTTTTCTGCTGGATATCACCTGTGTGTTCTACCATCAATCATCAACCTAACCTCAGCATGTTTGTTCATTTGTTTCTTCATTCATTCAACTTTTCTTGAGGACCAGTAGATGTTGAGGACTCTGCTAGTTGTGGAAGAAGATGAATAACGCTTGGTTCTTGTGCCTGAAAAACTCAGTCTGTTAGAAGATACAGAAATACAAGGATAAATTACTAGTATGTCCCAAATTGAAAATACTAAGGCAAGCTTAGTGGAATAGTGAAGAAGAAATGATAAATCATGTCCAGGAAGTAGAGGCTCCAGGAACGATTTAAAAAGGTTACATTTGATAGGCTGGGTTTTAAAGGCTTTCAACTTTCTATAATATAAGAAAGAACTGTTGTCAAGTGAGAAAATCCATGTGAAAATGTTTTGTGAAGTTTGTAAATACTAGCTTTGAAGATCACACATATAAGTGCAACAACATCAATTTTGGATTAAGGTTTGGATTTGAATCATGATTGACATTTGCTAGCTATGTGACCTTGTAAAATTACTACTACATTATAATAATATAGTAATATTATTATAACTACTTTATAATCCTTTCAGTTTCTTGATCAGTTGAATGGAGATGATAATAACCTCTCTTAATGAACTGTTGGAATTAAATGAAATAATCAGAGGCAATGCCTGGCAAATAATAGACTCAAAAAACATTAGTTTCTTTCCTTCAGTCTAGTCTGTAGTGTAAGATGAGGAATTAGAAACAGGAAATACAGGTCTATAATTCTTTATCTAAAATCTTGAAATTCAAAAAGGTTTAAGCCAAGTTTTCTTTTTTTTTTTCTTTGAGACAGAGTCTTGCCCTGTCGCCCAGTCTGGGCTGCAGTGGTGCGATCTTGGCTCACTGCAGCCTTCGTCCCCCGGCTTCATGCCATTCTCCTGCCTCTGCTTCCTGAGTAGCTGGGACTACAGGTGCCTGCCACCATGCTCGGCTAATTTTTTTATTTTTAGTAGAGACGGGGTTTCACCGTGTTAGCCAGGATGGTCTTGGTCTCCCGACCTCGTGATCCACCCACCTTGGCCTCCCAAAGTACTGGGATTACAGGTGTGAGCCACCACACCCAGCCTGTTTTTGTTTTTTAATAATTAAACTGATAATACAATCTGACCTGAATTCATTTAGCAGAATACCCTGACCTAAATTCACATAAGTTATATAAATGTAGACTTTATTTACTTTGCCAGATAAGATTTTTCCATTAATGTGTTTGCTTACTCATTTCTGTCCTAAACCTCTGAATGGATGGATATTAAGTAATATAAGGGGTATTTACTATAGTATTTTTCTAAAATCTCAAACTGAATTGTGAAACATATCGGACCCCAAGGTTTGGATAAGGGATTATGGACCTTTGTAGAGTATACTCTTTAAATTTTAAAAGATTAGAGGGAAAGAAGTTAAAGGGAGGGGAGGGTATACAGTGGAAAGGGAGAAGTTGATTATAGGTCAGAGAAGGTTCTAGAGAATGCAGAAGGGGTTCTAGGTAGGTCAGAATATAGAGTAGCCACTAGCCATATGTGGCTATTTAAATTAATTAAAAATAAATGAAATTTAAAGTTCAATTTCTCAATTGCTCTGGTAGCATTTCACTTGCTCAACAGTCGTATGTGCTAGTGGCTACCATGTTAGTGCCAATATAGAACATTTTCATCATTGCAGAAAGTTATGTTGGACAGCACTACTTCAGAGCAAAAGTCGGGGCAAAGGGGTGAGTATTACCCTTGTATTAAGGAAGAGACAGGAAAGAATGAAAGTTCAGATGATTAAAGAGTTTGGATGAAAGTTACTGAGAGCTTCTTAATCCTCAACTCTGATTTTTTGTTTTTTTCTTTAATGGTTGGAAGCAAAGGCATCAAATTAGTCAGAAAAGGAAGGAAGGGAATGGGCAGATTAGGAGAGAATGGCTAAAGTCACTATCTTATCTCCAAAGGCAGCTGTCCTTGTTCCTCACTGTGTCTCATTTAACCAGTCTGAAGTTCAAATCCATTATTCTTGTACAATAGTCCCCCCTTATCCATGGGGGATAAGTTCGAAGACCCCTCAGGATGCCTGAAACCTCAGATATTACCAAATCCTTTATGTTCTATGTTTTTTTTATCTAGATGGCTACCAAGTTACTAATAGGCAATGTAGTGTAGACAGTGTGGATATGCTGGACAAAGGGATGATTCAAGTCCTGGATGGACCAGAGTGGAACCTCACAAGATTTTGTCACACTACTCAGAACAGGGTGTAATTTAAAACTTATGAATTTTTTATTTCTGGAATGTTCCATTTAATATTTTCAGACTATGGTTGACTGCAGGTAACTGAAACCCTGGAAAGCAAAACCACAGATAAGGGGGCACTACTGTATTCTAGACATGCACTAACTCCTTGTAATGACTTGCATCCTTCCCACCATTTGCATTAGGAAATTCTGTTATATAGTTTCTTTTCCATACAAAAGCCAACAAACAAAAAGCCCTTTGGTATCTACCCACAGACTACTTAGCAAGGCCATGTCTTAATATTATTTTATGCCTTCCACAGCAGCCATCCATCCATCCACTGCTCTGTCTTCTGACCCACTTTTCTAGAGAAAATCAAAGTGGCTACTTTTTTACTGCTCTCCACATGGGCCAGCAGTGGCCTGCTTTTGCTTTGTCCCAGATGCTGTCCTCCCTTACCATGGCATCTTTGGTTTAAGTCCTACTTTAGTTCTGCTTTTTTTTTTTTTCCAGGAATTCAGAGAGTTATTAATCTTTTAAAATAGCAAGCACTCCTTCGTTGCTGTTAGGAGACTTAGAGTTTATTACAGTTACATTTAAATCAGTGCTACTTTACATTTTTCATTTTTTAGTCCTTCCAGTTCTTTATAACCTTCTCAAAATAGTAAATCATGTTCTCTCTACAATGTGGAAAATTCTCTTCTGTCTTCTTCTGTCTGATTTATATTTTCATTATTTGTTCCAGAATTTTATAACAGTAAAATATTTTTTATAAGAAAAAGTATTAGACCTGGAAGGAACTTCAGAGATCATCTACTCAAACTACCATATTAAACAATTGAGAAAACCAGGATTCAAAGAAGCTTAGTGATTTGCCCAAGGACATTTCCTAATTGTCAGCAGAGTGGGGTTAAGAACCCAAGGTTCCTGAAGTACCCACGATTTCCTTCAGAATTTTTAATATAACATATATGGTGAAGGGAAATGAGTTCAGTAATTACTTATTACTAATGAAATGCGAAGTGTTTTAATCCCAATATAAGGTTGCAATATTTTTCTTTACATTCTTTTTTTAGTAAGAAAAATTTAGTTTTGAACCATCATATAATAATATAAGAACTAATTAGGAGAAATTTAAATCATCCTCTTTGCTTTATATCAGTACAGTATGTATTTATTTAGCAGAATAAAAGTTTATGGTTGAAAATGGCTGAGTGCAGTGGCTCATGCCTGTAATCCCAGCACTTTGGGAGGCTGAGGCAGGTGGATCCCCTGAGGTCAGAGTTCAAGACCAGCCTGACCAATATGGCGAAACCCCGTCTCTACTAAAAATACAAAATTAGCTGGGCATAGTGGCACATGCCTGTAATCCCAGCTACTCAGGAGGCTCAGGCAGAAGAATCACTGGAACCTAGCAGGCGGAGGTTTTGGTGAGTCAAGATCGCGCCACTGCGCTCCAGCCTAGGCAACAGAGTGAGACTCTGTCTTTAAAAGAAAAAAAAGAAAGTTTATGGTTGAAAACATTATTTAACGTATAGTTATGTTGCTTAGAAAATTCTAATTATTCACTGGAGTCTTACCTTTGAGTTCTAAATAAGTATCACAAAAATTATTTTTTAAAAAATTAATATTAAAATTATATGCCCAATTTATATGTCTCATTGAAAACATCTTTGAAAAATAGTACTTTTGGTGTGGTATGTGGTATGTAAGACTTTGTAAGTTAAATAGTTGTTCACTGAATGTTAGCAGCTTTTTTTTTTTAATGTTCATGTAGCCTTTGTTGCTGTTTATAAACTTTACAAACTGTGTTCACTATTTGATCCTGTTAACCAATATTAGGAGGAACCACTGCATTATATTTACATTTGACTCTATGATAATATGTAATATTCACATTTTGACTCTCTGGGAGAAATAAAGAATAAATGTTAGTTCCCAGGCCAAAATAACAGTTGATACTTTCTTCTGCATTAACGTTGCATCTTTTAGACCAGAATGAAAACAATACATATTCTGATTAAAGGCTATGTTTTATACTTTTCAAGTAATTATTTTCAACTTTTTTTTTTTTTTTTTTTTGGGAGACAGATTTTTGCTCTTGTTGCCCAGGCTGGAGTGCAATGGCGCGATCTCGGCTCACTGCAACCTCCTCGTCTCTGGTTCAAGTGGTTCTACTGCCTCACCCTCCTTAGTCTAGGATTACAGGCGTGTGCCACGACACCCAACTAATTTTGTGTTTTTAGTAGAGATGGGGTTTTTTCGTTGGCCAGGCTGGTCTCGAACTCCTGATCTCAGGTGACCCGCCCGCCTCAGCCTCACAAAGTGCTGGGATTATAGGTGTGAGCCATTGTGCCTGGCCTGTTTTCAAGTATTTTTGTTTAAATTTCATAAAATGGTAAAATAAATGATTTTTGAAATTAGCTGGAGTTGTTTTCATAGAGTCTGTGGTTATAGGACTATTTATATATTGAGTAAAATCTGTACTATGTCAAGTGTTACTCAGTTGTCACTAGTAGAATATCTTTCTCTTTTAATTCTATATACAGTATGACTAACTCCAGTTTAAAATACTGGTATTTTAATGAGTTTAAATTGTACGGTTATATATTATGATACCTATTTTTCTTCTGGCTGTGATTTAGTTTTTAAAATCTTTGATGTCCATTTTAATTTTTAGAAATAAAAGCTTAAAAATATAGGCGGAAGTAGATTTCAGTTTGATAATTATCTTGGTGAAAGTATAGTACCTGTGAAATGATGGTAATAATTTGATTCTTTATACTATTTTGATCGTAGGTAAGGAGCATTTGTAAAATTTAGTTGCTTTAGAGTTATACAAATCCTTTTATTACCATTTATTAACTGTTTGTTGTTTTAGGACCTGATCCCAACCTTGAAGAAAGTCCTAAAAGAAAAAATATTACATATGAGGAATTAAGGAATAAGAACAGAGAGTCATATGAAGTATCTTTAACACAAAAGACTGACCCCTCAGTCAGGCCTATGCATGAAAGAGTGCCAAAAAAAGAAGGTATGATAGTTTAGTCTGAATCACTTTACTGTTTAGGATTGGAAACTAAAACATTACTTTAAAACAGTACTATAAAAAATTAATTAATATGTGATTTAACTCTTCAAGAAGTTAACTAAAGTAAAATATTTTTAAAATAGTACTTTACAGTTATCTGTTCTTCCTCTTTTTTTTTTTTTTGAGACGGAGTCTTGCTCTTGCTCTGTTGCCAGACTGGAGTGCAGTGGCACAATCTTGGCTCACTGTATCCTCTGCCTCCTGGGTTCAAATAATCCTCCTGCCTCAGCCTCCCAAATAGCTGGGACTACAGGCGCCTGCCACCACGCCCAGCTAATTTTTTGTATTTTTAGTAGAGACGGGTTTTCACCATGTTGGCCAGGATGGTCTCGATCTTTTGACCTCATGATCCACCTGCCTCAACCTCTCAAAATGCTGGGATTACAGGCGTGAGCCACTGCACCCGGCCAGTTCTTCCATTTTTAAGGTGTTCCAAAGGCCATTTTGTGTTAGAAAATACTGAAGTCAAGGCCAGGCACAGTGTCTCATGACTGAAATCCTAGCACTTTGGGAGGCCAAGTTGGGTGTATCACTTGAGGCCAGGAATTGGAGATCAGCATGGCTAGCATGGTTGAAACGCTGTCTCTACTAAAAATAAAAAAATAAAAAAATAAAAATACAAAAAAAGGTATGGTGGTGCATGCCTGTAATCCTAGCTGCTCGGGAGGCTGAGGCAGGAGAACTGCATGAACCCAGGAGGCAGAGGTTGCAGTGACTGACAGCATGCCACTGCGCTCCAACCTGGATGATGGAGAGAGGCTCTGTGTCCAAAAAAAAAAAAAAAGAAAATAATGAACTCCAAATAGTAAGACTTAAGACAGCAAGATTAGTTTTGTAACACAGGGTAGAGATTATATACTCATTTGACTGTTTTTCTCTTATAAAAAATCTCCTTGGAGATCTGATAGTCTTATTTTCCTAATGATACACCTATCACATAAGTTACTGTAGTGACCTGAGGTTGGCATTGTGCTGTAATACCACTTGTGGCCTAACCACAGAATGATTGAGTAATGAGATTGATTTTCTTTGTACGTTTGGGTTTTTCTCTTGTTTATTTTTTTGTTCTGTGTTTTTTTTGTTTGTTTGTTTTTTCTTTTTGAGATGGTTTTATTCTGTCACCCAGGCTGGAGTGCAGTGTTGTAATCATGGCTTACTGCAGCATTGACCTCCTGGGTTCAAGCAGTTCTCCTACCTCAGCTTCCCGAGTAGCTGGGACTACAGGTGTATGCCACCATCCCTGGCTGTTAAAATTTTTTTTTGGTACAGTGGGTTTTTCCCTATGTTGCCCAGGCTGGTCTCAAACTCCTGGGCTCAAGCAGTCCTTTCACCTTGACCTTCCAGGATGCTGAGATTATAGGTGGGAGCCACTGTGCCTGACCTTTCTTGTACATTTGTGAAATTGAAAGAGTTATATACCATATACACCAGCTTCTAAGGCATTTCTTAAAGAGGAAAAAAGCAAAAAAAACTACTTTTGAAAAATAATTGTGAATTTTTAAATGCTGATTTCTTTTAAGTCTCTTTGAAATAGCTATACATCAGCCAAAGTAAATTTTTTGATACAAGTTTACCTCTAAAGGAAGAGGGCATTTGAATAGGGTTTTGTAGCTATTTCAGTATAGGATTTTATGATTTTCTCTTAAGGAATTTCAGAGTATGTGTCATTGTTTCAAGGTTTTCTATTTACTACTTTTTTTTTTTTTTTTTTTGAGACGGAGTCTGGCTCTGTCGCGCAGGCTGGAGTGCAGTGGCTGGATCTCAGCTCACTGCAAGCTCTGCCTCCTGGGTTTACGCCATTCTCCTGCCTCAGCCTCCGGAGTAGCTGGGACTACAGGCGCCCGCCACCTCGCCCAGCTAGTTTTTTTGTATTTTTTAGTAGAGACGGGGTTTCACCCTGTTAGCCAGGATGGTTTCGATCTCCCGACCTTGTGATCCGCCCGTCTTGGCCTCCCAAAGTGCTGGGATTACAGGTTTGAGCCACCGCGCCCGGCTATTTACTACTTTAAAAATGGAAAGAATAGGTCTTTGGTACCTTCTTGAAGGTCATATGCCACAGATAATGCAAAAATACATGGAAGTCCTTCATATTTGTTGTTGTGGTCATTTTTTAGAGCTAATTTTATTTTTAATCATTAGTGGTTGCTTCATTTGGAGTTCTGTTTTTATAACAATGGTAGATAATATCTGCATCATATTATTAATGTAAAAAAATCTACCTTTGAAATAAATTAGGGATCTACCATACTTTTGAATGTTTGTCATCAAACAACATTTAGCATAAACTATGCATCTAGTGGCCATTGCTCTGTAATAAGTAAAGACTCGTTAGTACTTTGTTCTGCTAATTAATTTGAGGATTTAGATTGTAAGCTCTGTGAGGGCAGAAAGTAATATTTCTCTTATTTTTGTAATCTTTTCTATTATTGTCTGCATAGCATAGTACCTTACACTGTATCAGAAATTGAGTATTTTGGTTTAGGCTTCTATAGTAATAGAGGTTAAGAAAGGAAATTTTGTAGACCTTTAGTATTTGCTGGATTTTGACATTTGTGATTTTTGACTGAAGTCTTCAAGTTCTGTTACATGACACAAGAATGTGAAATGTTTTTTTTTTTTTTTTTTTGGTAAAAGGTTTTTTGTGTGCTTTAATATAAAGAAAAGACTTGTTATGAAATAGTTTCAGCGATTTTCTAAAATATCATTGAAATTAGTACAGGGTAGATTCACAGGGTCAGAAAGTGTCACTTAAAGTTTTCACCTTTAGCTTATGTGGTTGATATTTATCTAATTAGAAATTAAGTCTCAGAAATTTTAAAAATTCAAGCACGTATTCTATTAACTGCCAGAGCAATGTCACCACACATCCTGTAGCTTCTAGAAAACCGTGTAACACATACTCATGAGGGAATGAGAGCAAGGGGAAAAGGCAAAATGTGAAGGATAAGGATATATAATGTCAATATAATAATGAAATAATTTTGACTTCATGTATTCCCTGAAAAGAGTCCACACTGTGATAACTGCTGCTTTATATTGTTATGATTACTCATAGACAGAGGCTGTGTTGAAGAGGAGCAAAAAAGTAAAGGAGTAGAATAGACAGTGGAGCATGTTTCAAAATGTAAAATGTAGAGTGCCTGTGAAATGTAGTAGTATTTTCTTCTTATAGTAGTATTTACAGCCCTAAGAGAGAAGATTGAATTAATTACAACTTGAACACTTGACCATTTCTACTGCTGTATTTTTTGTGAAAAACGAAAATTCAAATGTTTGTTTTATTATTTCCCACTAATTTTTTTTTTTATATGACTTAATATGTGCCACACTTACTTAGGTAGTACAGTAAAGATGTAAAAGTACCCAGGCTTTGGATCTAAACAGACCTGTACTCAAATCTCAGTTCTTGTTAGGGCTTGTACCTTGGGCAAGTTACTAATCTGTTTTCTCACCATTAAAATGAGAATTGTGTTTAGAAGTTTGTTATGAGGACTAACTATTTATGTAAAATTCTAGATACAATGCATTTGTCCAACCCCAAGTTGACAAAAGTCTGGCCATTCCCTTTTTGTAATTATAATTTGACTCTCATGTGCTTTTATTCAAATGAGAGAGAAACATAACTTTTCATCATAGCAACAAACTTGAAATAATCTTTTACTTGTTATTGCTTGGAATCATCAATTATTTGTGCTTTTTTCCTAGTCAAAGTAAACAAATATGGAGATACTTGGGATGAGTGAAAAATTACATCATTGGACCTACTGAAGGAGTTTCAACATCCAGCTTCATCTAGGTGGTCATGATTACCTGCATGCTTTGAGATTAGCAGCAGTCTTCATAAACACATTTAAAACAAGATCCTGGGTTTTTGTGGTTTGACTTCTCTGGCGTGTTAAAAAAAAAAAACGCAGATTTTTAGTGTTAATATTGTGTAAATGTCCTTACCTTGGGGATTCATTTGAATGATGGTATTATACCATGACTGTATACAGTTTGTGAAATTGTTGCAAGGGCAAAGACGCTCTCATAAAACCAGCAAGAGATTACAATGCTCTAGAATGAGCATATATGAAAATAAATGATATCTGCATGTTGAATTGGGGTGGGTGGGGGGAGCAAGCATAATTTTTAAGTGTGAAGCTTTACATTAAGAAATTATTAAAAAGCTTTTTTTCTCCGGTATTTGCTGTATTATCTTAATGTTTATGTCAAATAAAATGTAAAGGAACATGCAGCAGCCCTCATCTTCCTTGATTTTATGGTTTTATTGTTTGTAATTTATTGATTTATTTTTAAGCTAGTTATAATCATGTAGGTAAAGGAAATAAAGTCATCTATAATATTTAATAATATATGGCTGGAGGCAGTGGGCAGTGGTTGATGCCTGTAATCCCAGCACTTTGGGAGGCTGAAGTGGGAGGATTGCTTGAGTCCAGGAGTTTGAGACCAACCTGGGCAACAAAGTGAGACCCCATCTTTACAAAAAAATAAAAATTAGCTGGCGATGGTGTCGTGTGCCTGTATTCCTAGTTACTTGAGAGACTGAGTTAGGAGGATCAGTTGAACTCAGTGGTTCTAGGTTGCAGTGAGCTGTGATCACACCACTGCACTCCAGCCTGTGCAACTGAGTGAGACCCTGTGTCTAAAAAAAGTAAAAATATAATGAATATGATTTATGTAGATAAATTGAGTAATAAGGAACTGCCTTAAAAAAGCAAGTTGTCATTTTTAAAGAATTTGTAAATTCTAAAACAATAAAAATTTGGTATACATAACAGAGACTAAGACGTTAAAAAGAAAAAAAAATTGGTATACAATGACCCTTTGTATCTGTGGGTTCCATATCTGCAGATTGAAAATATTTGAGGGAGAGAAATGGGTGGTTGTGTCTGTACTGAACTCTTGTTATTTCCAAACAATACATTGTAATAACTATTTACATAGCATTATTACAAGTAATCTATAAATGACTTCAAGTATACAGGAGGATGTACATAGGTTATATGTAAATACTACACTACTTTATAGTGGACATTAGGAACCTGGACCAATAGACCCCCACCTAGTCACATTTTAGAAAGAACACGTGGGATGGAAGATACCACAGCCATCTTTCAGTCTATCATTTGGCTGCTGTAATTTACATCCCTCTCCCGAGGACCTCCATTTCCTATGCCATTACAACAGCTCAAAGTCTAGGAGCTGATCATCTAATCGGGGTAAGGTATGGATGAGGCTCCTTGGGTAAAGCTTCATAAATAAAAGCGTCATGAATACCGTTTCTCTCAATCTGAAGGCCTGAACTTAAGAAGTTATCTGCTTTGTTCACCTGTTAGGCATAACATCACTACTCTGGAGATTCCTGTTCAAAAAGTGAAAAGGAAAGGCTTGGCTTGCAATTCTGAAGTCTAGCCAGCCTAATGTGGCCATGTGCTGGGATTACAGACATGAGCCACCAAGCCTGACCGTCTTTCACGTCTTTGGTTAATTCTTAGGTATTTTGTTCTCTTTGTAGCTCTTGTAAGTGGGATTACTTTCTTGATTTCTTTTTCAGATTGTTCTCTATCAGGACATAGAAATGATACTGATTTTTGTATGTTGATTTAATATCCTACAACTTTACTGAATTCCTTTATCAACTCTAATAGTTTTTTGGTTGAGTCTCTCAATTTTTCCAAATATAAGATCATGTCATCTGCAAACAAGGACAATTTGACTCCTTCTTTTCTAATTTGTATACTCTTTCTTTCTCTTGTCCAATTGCTGTAGTAAAGACTTCCAGTATAACAGTGAGTAAAAGTGATAAAAGTAGACATCCTTGTCATGTTCCAGATCTTAGAGGAAAGATTTTCAGCTTTCCCCTTTCTATATGATACTGTTTGTCTGTTGTATATTATATGGCTTTTATTATGTGGAGGTATGTTCCTTCTACACCCAGTTTTTTGAGGATTTTTGTCATGAAGGGGATGCTGAATTTTGACAAATGCTTTTTCAGCATCAGTTGAAATGATCATAAGGTTTTTGTCCTTCATTCTGTTGTTATGATGTATCACATTGATTGATTTGCATATGTTGAACTATCCTTGCATCCCTGGGATAAATCCCATTTGGTCATAATGATCTTTTTAATGTGTTGTTGAATTTGATTTGCTAGTATTTTGTTGAGGATTTTTTCATCAATATTTGTCAGCAATATTTGCATGTAGTTCTTTTGATGTGTGTTTGTGTTTGGTATCATGGCAATACTGGCATCATAGAATGAGTTTGGAAGTATTTCCTCCTCCTCTATTTTTTGGAATATTTTGAGTAGGATGGGTATTAGTTCTTCTTTAAATGTTTGGCAGAATCCCTCAGATGTTTTCCTGTTCCACCTGACCTGCTGTTTGGGTCTGAGAGGGGAAGCCAGTGGAATAAATGTATTTCTATCTGGAAAAAAAAAAAAAGTTTGTCAAAATTCAGCAGTGAAGTCCCAGGGTCTTGGGCTTTTCTTTGCTGGGAGGTTTTTTTTATCACAGCTTCAATCTCATTGCTTGTTATCACTCTGTTCAGGTCTTGGATTTCTTCATGGTTCAATCTTGGTAGTTGTGTATCTGTGTAGGAATTTATCCATTTCCTCTAGATTTTCCAATTTATTGGCATATAGTTGCTCATAGTAGCCACTAATTATCATTTGAATTTCTGCAGTATTAGTTGTAATGTCTCCTTTTTCATCTCTGATTTTATTTGAGTCTTCTCTCTTTTTTTCGTAGTCTGGCTAAAGGTGTGTCAATTTTATTTATCTTTTCAACAAAATCTTTTTGTTTCATTGATCTTTTGTATTGTTTTCTTTGTTTCAATTTCATTTATCTCTGTTTCTGCTGTGATCCTTATTATTTCTTCTACTGATTTTGGGTTTGGTTTTCTCTTGCTTTTCTAGTTCTTTAAGATGAATCATTAGGTTATTATTATTATATATAAGTGTAGTTTACATATCACAGTTCCAGTACTGGGTGCATATTTTTATATATATATATACACACACACACATATATATATGTATATATATACACATATATATATAATTATTTTTTTAATTTAGCCACTTATAGCTGAAACCTTCCCTCTTAGTGCTGCTTGTGCTGTATTTCATAGTTTCGGTGTGTTGTTTATCCATTGTCATTTGTTTCAAGAAATTTTTCAATTTCCTTCTTGATTCCTTAATTGATCCACTGATTCAGGAGCATATTGTTTAATTTTTATGTGTTTATATAGTTTGCAAAATTCCTCATTATTGATTTCTAGTTTTATTCCATTGTGGTGACAGAAGATGCTTGATATTATTTCAATTTTTAAAAAATGTTTTATGACTTATTTTGTGACCTAACATATGGTCTATGCTTGAAAATGATCCATGTGCTGAGAAAAAGAACGTGTATTTTTCAGCCGTTGGATGAAACAGCCTGTAAATATGTATTTGTTCCATTTGTTCTATAGTGCAGATTAAATCTGATGTTTCTTTGTTGATTTTCTGTCTGGAAGATCTCTCTAATCCTGAAAGTAGGGTATTGAAGTCTCCAGCTATTATGCTATTATAGTCTATCTCTTTCGTTTTAATAATATATGCTTTATATATCTGGGTGCTCCAGCATTGGTTGCATGTATATTTACAATTACTACATCCTCTTGCTGAATTGACTTCTTTATCATTATATAATGATCTCTGTCTCTTTTATAGTTTTTGTCTTGAAATCTATTTTGTCTGATATAAGTATAGCTACTCCTGCTTTTTTTGGTTTCCATTGACATGCAATATCTTTTTCCATCCCTTTATTTTCAGTCTACATGGGTCTTCATATAAAGTATGTTTCTTGTAGGCAACATATCATTGGGTCTTTTTAAAAAGCCATTTAGCCACTCTGTGTCTTTTGGCTGCAGTATTTATTCCATTTATATTCAATGTTATTACTGATAAGTAAGGACTTCTGACATTTTGTAATTTGTTTTCTGTTTGTTTGTGTTTTTCTCTTCCTTCTTTCCTTCCTTCCTGTCTTCCTTTTAGTGAAGGTGATTTTCTCTGGTGACATGATTTAATTTCTTGCTTTTTATTTTTTGTGCATTCGTTGTATTTTTTAAATTAACCCAGATCTTAGCAGCTTAATGTATGTTTTTTGATTTGCAGTTACTATGAAGCTTGCAAATACTATCTTATAACCCATTATTTTGAGTGAATAACAACACTCATTGCATAAACAAACTAAACATGAAAAAGAAAACTGATAAAAACTCTACACTTTAACTTCATCCCTCTGCTTTTTAAATTTTTATTGTTTTGCTGGGTACAGTGGCTTAGGCTTGTAATCCCATCACTTTGGGAGACCGAAGTGGAAGGACTGCTTGAGCCCAGGAGTTTGAGACCAGCCAGGGCAACATAGTGAGACCCAAGCTCTACAAAAAAATAGAAGAAGATTAGCTGGGCATGGTGGTGTGTGCCTGTAGTCCCAGCTACTTGGGGGATTGAGGTGGGAGTATCACTTGAGCCTGAGAGGTTGAGTCTGCAGTGAGACATTGATCACACCACTGCCCTTCAGCCTGGGCAACAAAGTGAGACTGCCTCAAATATATCTATATATGTAATATGTAATATATAAAATATATAATATATGATATAAATTTATATATTATATGTTATATATAAAGTATATGTAATATATATGTAATGCATATAAAATATATAATGTATAAAATAAGTTTTTGTTGTGTCTATTTATATTTTATTGTGCTGCCTATGTCTTGAAAAGTTGTTATTGACTGATTCATCTTTTAGTCCGTCTACATAAGTGTAGTTTACACATCACAGTTACAGTATTATAAAATTCTGTGTTTTTCTGTGTCCTTACTATTACCAGTGAGTTTTGTACTTTCAGATGATTTCTTTTTTTTTTTTTTTAAATCTATGGAAATGGCTTTATTTTTTTTTCACTTTTATTTTTTTATTATACTTTAAGTTCTAGGGTACATGTACACAACGTGCAGGTTTGTTGCATATGTATATGTGTGCCATGTTGGTGTGCTGCACCCATTAACTCGTCATTTACATTAGATATATCTCCTAATGCAATCCTTCCCTGCCCCCCACTCCCCACAATAGGACCCGGTGTGTGACGATTCCCTTCCTGTGTCCAGGTGATCTCATTGTTCAATTCCCACCTATGACTGAGAACATGCAGTATTTGGTTTTCTGTTCTTGTGATGGTT